AATTTGCTCCAATGATTTACAGAAATGTTGGTCTACAGCCCCCCCTCCTCACTAAAAAAAGATAGAAGGGGGGGGGAAGAAATGCCATTATTCAACCAAGAAGCCCCCCCTTTTTGGAGGGAAATTCTGATCCTCCTCATACTTTCACCTATCAGAAAACAAAACTTTCCCTAGAAAACAGACATTAACAATTACGAATTAATGAATAGTTTTATTTATGAACAGGCCCATTTGAAATCCCAATCTATTCAAAAGATGTTTCCATTTAATATACTTAATTATTGTATTATGTTTACAGTCAGAAGAATGGGGTCATAAACATTTTTCTGAAACAAATACATCAAATATTTTATCTGGGAATTGAACTTAACGTTAAAAGGTAATACTGCAGAACAGGAGACCTTTTAGACGATGGACATATAAACTGTTTTACATTTAAAACTAACCTAAATATCAAATTCTGAAATAAACTGCCTATACCACTGGTACCAGAAGGTTTTATCTGATATACCTATTTAATTGCCCCTCACAAATCTTTTTCTATGCCAATATTACTAAGCCCAACTTGTAGAACTTCTTCAGTGTCTTTATCTCTCATTTTGAGTTGGGATTATTTGCAGTGTTTATTATTTTTGTACAGAAGAACTGGGGTGTAGGACAGAGGTGCTGGGGGTGAGAGGATTCACCAGAGATAAGAGTGGAAAACATAACAGGCATATTTACTGAAATACACTACTAAGGGGAGCAGCAGGCAAGATAGAAGAGAGGTCTGCTGCACCATTTGTGGGTTAACCAGAGCACAGAGGTGAGAGTGGTTAACCCCTAGGCTACCAGGGAGGCCCTATTTGCGGTGTTAATAACCACATTTCATGTTAGAGGCACTGACACTTTTCAGCCTGGTCTTTAAGTGACAGACTATTCCCACTAGTCAGAAGCAATTAGTGAGCAAGGATTTCCCAAATATGGGATGTCTAAAAGACAGCTAGAAAAAGAGTGTGTATACATCCTCTGGTATTTGTTATAAACAAAACTCCAATAGGACAACTATTGTGGCAAATTAATTTTCCAAACACTGGAAATAGCAAATGTTGAATAATTACCTCCCAATTAATCACTAATTAAACAAAATCCTAAATAGTGCCACAGAAATAAAAAATGTTTTCAAAATCTTCAAAGCAACCTTCCCTGTATTTTTACTAGCAACATTCATGCTGGAAGTCTACAAAACCAGCAAAACTATTATGAACAAAGGAAAATTAAAATCTCAGAAGATGTAGAATAAAATGGCTCATCTAGCCATTCCTCAAGCAAAAACTTAGGAAAAATAATTATTTCAGTTTTGTGATACCCCCCAAAAAAAACCCAGTCAAGGAAAAGTGGCAGAACAAGTCAATATATAGCGTGGGATAATCCATTTTCCCCTTCAGAAACACAGAAAGTGCTCTACTATTTGCCAAAGTCAGCATTTTCTGGAGTACTGCTTCATGGCACGTTTATGAACATTAACAATTGTAAAGCCATGTCACAATTTAACATGCAGAAAGATCCAATTCCAAAGATTTGATCTGATTTGAGCAAGTCCAGCTTTTTTTATATTTCAATCCTAAAAAGCATAAGACACACTGACCAAGGTAGAAAGGTAATCAGGTTGCTTCAAGAGAATGTAAGGGCTGATCTTAATAGAAATATTTGAAAGGAATATGACCCAAGAAAAAAAGGTATCAGGTTTGGGGCAATGATGGCAATAATGGCTTAGCAAAGAACCATATATAGGAAGGCATCAAAATTAAATGATTTCAGCTTGAACACAATATAGTACACAAAACTCAAATACAAACTGTTATTACCATTACTTTCAAAATAAATTACAAGGTACAACAAAGCAATGTTTTTACCAACAACATTATTTAGGATGAAGAGATTATATAGGCTTTTTAAATTTAAAAGTGAGAGACAACTCTAAGGCAAAAATTAAGCAAGTATTCCGTATTTTATCAAATTGATCCAATGAGAGTCAAACGCAAGTCCTCCTCTCAACTGCTATAATGGCCTAAGAATGAATGATTACTCTCTTTAAGTCAACCTTCACACTGAAACCAGAGCCTTTCCTAAAATACAGAAAAAATTTGTTACTTGGAGGAGGAGAGCACTTATTCTTGGGCCCTAAAGAGGAAAAGTCGAACCTAGCTCAGTATCCACAGCCTTCCATAATTGACATTAGCCTGACCTTTCTTCCTCTTAGCTCAGGAGGTTCCCAGTTCATAACTAGTTCTACTTCACACCTATCTCTGCCAAATAAATAAATGCATCAAAACCTACCCAACATTCAAAGATCAATTTAAGTGCCCCTTTCTGTGAAAGTTCTTTTAATACTTCCAGTATAACCTCTTTAAATATTAAATATTCAGCACCCATTCACCATTATGCACCAAGTACTGGGGGATTCCAAGGTATAATTCCTGTAAACTCTCAAAGTGGAAGGTAAAATCTTTTAACAATAGAATATATTCTAAGTAATATAATAAAGAGTGCTACAGCCTCCCACTCTACCAATAAAAACTAATTCTGCTCCAGCTTATTAGATAGCTCAACAAGCGAAAAAAGAAATGAACCATAAATGAACAGAATTCTCCAGGAAAAAGACACAAGAAAGCAAGAAACTATGTAAATACTATGTGTTTCTACAAAACATTCATCATTCTATAGTACACTCCAGTAAAGGAACAGTGCCTTGCACACAATACTCAGTTGTTTAATGGAATGTACCAATACCTTCTTTGTGGCATCAGTTAATTCATACTAATAGAGCATAAATTCATACTAATAGAGCATAAACCCAAGTAAAATAACAACTTCGGTGAATACACTGCAATATTCTATAGACCAAGCTTTTAAACGGGTTTTTAAAAAGCACAAAAACAATTCCAAAGAGCACCTGCACCCCTATGTTTATAGCAGCACTATTTACAATAGCTAAGCTTTGGAAACAACCCAAATGCCCAAAAATAGATGACTGGATCAAGAAGATTTGGTACATATATACCATGGAATATTACTCAGCATTCAAAAAAGATAAACACATGCAATTGCAGCAACATGGATGGCGCGCTGGAAGGGATCATGCTCAGCGAAATAAGCCAGAAAGAAAAAGAAAAATACCGGATGGTCTCACTCATAGCAGGAATCTAGAAAACTTAAATAAGGGACCAGGAAAATGAATAACTGTAAGAAAGTGAAAATCAAAATCAACAAAAAACTATGAACCAGAGACACTCTATGGGGGGTAGAGGGCGGGAGGGGAGGGATTAGGGTCAAAATAAGGGGGTTGCAATTGTATGGGGAATATAAAAATAAAATTTATTATTAAAAAATAAAAAATAAAAAGCACAAAAACTGATCAGAACTGTGATTTTCCAAAAGTACCGTTTGAAGCAAGTCATCAAAGCCACAAATGCTCTAAGTCAATAATCTTCTGAATGAAGTATAGCTAATGGCAATATCGTTACATTTACATTTTCTAATTATTTTGCAAAAGGTATGTTTTAGTCTAGAGATAGAAGAGTAAGTAAATGCCTAAGAACTTAGGTTAAGTTAAAACAGCTAAATCCTAAATATCTAACCAGAATATTGTCATTACTGCCAATTCACTAGCATGTCTAAGTTTCAGAAAGGAGGACTTCAGTTCCTACTGATCACACAATTATTCAATGCTAATGACATACTTAATTAACCCAACCAAGCTTTCAGATCCATCTACTTTGTCCCCTCCCCGCACCCTCACTCTCTGCCACAGACTCAAACATGCCTTTCACACTACTGCTTTGTTACAAGATATTCTCTCAGGCTCAAATGTCTTCTCCCCTAATTTTAAAAAAATGCTTGATGCTTTTAGACCAAGGATAGACACATCACATCCTCTATCAAATAGTCCTAAACATAAATTAATCGCTCCGTTAGTCAGGTTCCCAGACATGTTGCCCATACTTCTATTGAAGCATTCATTTGGCCTCATAAACGAATGAAGATGTATCCATGTTTCACAATTAAATTGTAAAATTTTTCACGACCAGTTTTTTATTACCTCTCAGACTATACCGAGCCAGGCACCTAGAAACGACGTGTGACATAAGTCTCTTTTCCTTGGAAGCCTCCTCGTGTTTGGTAAAAATTTCGGATTCCAAGTCAGAAATAAAAAAATGCACCTCCAACGTCCCATGCCTTATTTCTTCTGAAAAGTGACCCTATTTCCTGTTAATTCGGGATCGTCCTTAATGGATTCCAGGCTATTATATTCCAAACGTTTTCCTAATTTTGTATATTCTACAAAACAACCAACTACCTTGGTTATTAAAAAACCAAATGTTTCTTTCCTTCTTTCATCAATAATTATTTCCCAAGAAAAAAACCCATATTATACGGAATAATCATGGGAGTAAAAAATTACCAAATTTTTATTCCTAAATCATTTCGTTGGGGGAGTAAAAAGCTATTCTAGACACCTGAAAACACACTAATTCACCACGGCTAGGGATGATGGGCCTCTCCGTTTCACTGAACTAGATTTAGAACTGCCGAAAAATGAACTAGATTTAGAACTGCCGAAAAGCGGATGCCGATTTCAGTGGTTTTTTTGACCGACCTATACACAAACTGTGCCGACGACAGTTCCGAAAAACCAGCGAAGCTTTACTCCCACTCCCGTTTCCCGGATCAAAAATCCTTCTTAGCAAGTTGTTTGAACAAGGCCCTCTGGTCAGAGAAGGCAGCAACTCTGAAGCAGCAGCACCTAAACACCGAACAAAGCGCCTTCGGGGGTGCATGGGTAGGACGCCATTACGCGGGGCAGTGGCCTGCGCCGCCGATGCCGGAGACGACCCAGGCCCCGAAGCGCGGGCTCGGCTCCCCCCAAGGAAGCCACAGAAAGAGACAGAAATCTAGAGACAGACTCTCAACAAGCTAAGCCAGCGGAGAAGACACGGAAATAGCGAGAGCCCGCTTACCTTCGTGAGTCTTGGCGATCTTCGCCATTTTGTCCACTCGAACACACAGACGGAACTGGCGCTCCCAAGAACTTCCGCTCGTCGCCGCCGCCACGGAGAAAAATAGCTGGGCTGTTCTCTGAGCATGCGCCAACCGGGAACGCGCGCCGTTGGGTGACACGTGACAGAACAGCCACCTAGAGGGAACAGAGAGGTGCATTGTGGGTTGGGGGAGGAGCCGAAATGGACCCGGAGGCGGTATTCTTGATGAGCCTTTAAAGAACTGGGTGAGCCTTAGTGTCTTTAAAGGGATTAACTTTGTCCGGGAGGAAAGTGGATTCCACCAGGGTAATTAAAACAGTCACTCTAAGAAACACTTTGGTTTCAGGACCCGAGGACACCTCAAGCCTTCAGTCTCCTTCCTCTAAATTCACCTGAAGGCGTCTTGGGGCCAGAGAAAAGCTTTCCTTACTCTGCCTCAGCTGTTGCAGTGCTTAGTTATGGAAACAGTCATAACAGTCCCATCCTTCCCGCTGTAACTCAAGGTTATTTTCTTTTTTAATAATTAGTTGTCATTTAGGCAGGATTTTCGTTTGCAACATATATTCTCGAGCAATATTGACCTTCATAAACACCCCAGTAAGGTGGACAAGCAGTAAGGTGGGCAAGTTCTTTGCTGATCCCATTAAAGAAATGAGAAAAACTAGGGAAGAAATGAGAAAAACACAGACGCGCGCGCGCGCGCGTGTGTGTGTGTGTGTGTGTGTGTGTGTAAAGTGTATGCAAGATCACAGTTATTAAGTTACACAGTAGGAATTTTGCACCCTTTTAAAAAGTCTTTTACCTTCTTAGATTCTTAGAAAACCATTGATCTGCAGCCTTAACACTGATGAAATGCTTCTCAAGTCAAAAGGCCAGAAAATGGTGGTCTGTTACCTATGCAACAATTTTACTAGCATAACCTTGTACTGTCACACCGGCTTTAGACTTTAGTTAAAAAATAAAGGAACTTTTAAAAAGAAATTGGCACAGGAAGTAGCCTAGGAAAACAGGCAGGAATCAAGGTTAGAGCCATCACAAAGAAAAGAGTTTACCTGGCTGTGTGATATAACACAATCACAGGGACAGAGAAGCACCTGCACTTTGGACCCTCCTAGGCCTTGTCCCAAATGTACCTCTTCATCTGGCTGTTCATCTGCATCCTCTATTACATCCTTTAATAAACTGGAAAACTGAGTATTTCCCTGAGTCTGGTGTACTGCTCTAGTAAAAAAATCAAACCTGAGGAGGTGGTTGTTGAAACTGCCAATGTACAGCACACTGAATAGAAATTGTAGGTAACCTATAGACCTCACTACTTCTGAATGACAGCTGAAGATAAATGGGAGAAATCTTGTATGACTGAGCCCTTACCTATGTGTGGGATTTGATGCTATCTCTGTTAGACAGTGTTAGAATTGAAGTAAATTGTAGAAAGCCCAGCTGGTTTTGCAGAGGATAGCTTGGTGAGAGAAAAACTTCCAGATAGTCAGTGACCAGAAGTAAAGTGTCTTATGTGAGAAGAAAGTGAGATTCACAGATGGAGAATTGAGTTTTCCCAATTCACTATGGGTTGCCATTTCACTCTGTTGACAATGTCCTCTGCTGTACAAGTTTTCAATTTTGGTGAAGTTCAGTTTATTTTTTCCTCTTGTTGCCTGTACACTTGGCATCATAATCAAAGAAATCATTGCCAAATCCTTTGCTGTGAATAACTTAGTGGGGTTTTTTTTTTTTTTAAGATTCTTATTTATTTCATTTATTTTGCATAGAAGAACTGGGGTATAGGCCAGAGGAGGGGAGGGTGAGGATTCACCAGAGACAGAGTGGGGAGCAGAACAGGCAGAACCACTGAAATACAATGCAAAGGGGAGCAACGGGGGAAACAGGAGAGGTCTGAGGCATGGCTGCACCAGCAATACCGCAGTAATAAAGAAACGGGACTCAATCGTGGAGCAGGCTATAGGATGCAGGATGTTGCTTGAGAACAAGATCCTGGCCTTTTTATTGACAGAGAACAGTGGGTCAAATTGAACATTGGATTTTGGTTTTAGGGAGAGTGAGTCCAGTGATATATACCCAATTCCCACTCATGGCTCCAATCTTATTAACAAGGTATTCCACTGACCAGTCACTGGCCCTCAGGGCGTTCCCAGTCATACCTCAGGATGTATACCTATTGCCCCAGGACGAACAAGCATCCTGCTCTTGCCTAAATTGAAAGGAGCCTCACAGTCTACACCCATAGGGCTCCAGGTGGGTTAGCTCCCTGGTCAGGGGTTGAACTCAGGTATTGATCTCAGGCCTTTGGGTGGGCCTCCACAGTGCTAAAGCTGAGACTTGACCCCAAGGCCACTAGGGAGGCCCCAGTAACTTAGTTTTGATTCTGGAAAATTTATATACAGGAGCCTTACTGGTGGCCTGGGGGTTAAGTCTCAGTACTATCACCACTTTGGCCTAAATTCAATTCCCAGCCAGGAAGCTATGGCACAGCAGACCTCTTCTGTCTTGCCTGCTGCTCCCCTCAGCAGTGTATTTCAGTAGATCCGCCTGTTCTGCTCCCCACTCCTGTCTCTGGTGAATCCTCTCACCCACCCACCCCCCTGTGCTTCTGGCCTACACCCCAGTTCTTCTGTGCAGAAATAAAAAAATATTTTTAAAATAATTCATATACAAATTGTTCAAGTAGCATCATAAAAAGATATAAATGAAAAGTGAAAGCTTTTCCTTACCTGTCTTATTCCCCAAAGATTAAGAGTTTCGAATATTCATTAAATAATATTATGTATATACAAGCATTCAGTACATATACTAATTTTTATACCCGAGATGTTTAAAAGGGAAGCCTGTTTAAGAAGGTAGGTGATAGAAAAACTACATACTGTATAAAATTAGAAATTATTCCAAGAAGGAAGGAAAGAGTTCAAGCATGAAGATACTAACATGAATAAATGAGAAGCTTCCTAGTAAAATCAGACTTTAATAAAAGGGGAAAAGAAAGGAAACCTCCCAAAGGAAACCTACATAAAAAAATTAATCAGGGGCCTCCCTGGTGGTACAAGGGGTTAAGACGCAACCTATGAAGCAGTCCGTAGCCACTGCAGCACGAGTCGGATCCCTGGCTGGCACAAGGATGGCACAGCAGACCTCTCCTGACTCACCCGCTGCTCCCCTCGGCAGTGTATTTCAGTCAATCCTCGTGTTCTGTTCCCCACTCTGTCTCTGGTGAATCCTCTCAACCGCCCCTTACCCCCCACCCACACCTCTGGCCTATCCCCCACTTCTTGCATGCATAAATAAAGAAAATCTTTAAAAAATAAATAAAAATAAAGAAAGAAAATTAAAAAATAAAGAAAATAAAGAAAATCTTTAAAAAAAAAATTAATCAGGAGTTTTTGGCACACTCAGGGGGCCTCAAGCCCCTCCCCACATATCTTGCCCTATGCCTCGCTTCCATTTGGCTGTCCCAAATTACATGCTTTTATAACAAACTAATCTAAGGATATACTGAATAAAGATGCTGGAGAATGTGAACTATGCCTTTGAAGAATTGCAGCAGGAAGATACTAGAGCACAACTGCCTTGTCTATATATATATCGTAAAGGCTGCATTGAAGTAATAGATCTTTTTCCTGAAGCACCCTTTAAACATCAGATTCCTATTTTATAGGTGTTGTCCTTTCAAGATGTCTGAAAAACCAAGAGGATATAAATTCTATGTCTGAAAAAACAAAATGAAGGCAGATGATTACCACAGAACTCAGTGTACCAAACATGCATATAAATGACTCACAGGGATTCTGAAAACACTGCACATCCCTCAACAGTCATCTACATAGGTAATACTGATAAACATTTTATATTTAGACACCAAAGTTAACTGATTTTAAAAGTTTGTTTATTATGTGGTTCTGGGTGTCTATGTGCCACAGTATGTGGCAGGCAGTAGCAAGAGAGGAATTTAAGGATTAAATAAAAGGCTGGTTATATAACCAAGAAAGAATCCATTTTCTTGAGCAGTAATGAATGACCTAATATAAGAATTTCTGGATCTGGAAAGCTGTGAAGAGTCCTTATCTATGTTGTCATCCTTTGTGGCCCCACCTATGATGTGGATTAGTTTCTTTTCTATTTGAATCACTTCTCAATGTTTTAGTTTTGAATCAATTCTCAATATTTTAGTTTTGGCTTGCTCTGCACTGTTTCTTAAAAATAGTTCTAGGGCCTCCCTGGTGGTGCAAGGGGTTAAGTTTCAGCACAATGAAGCTGTGGGCAGCCACTGCAGGAAGAGTTCTATCCCTGGCCAGGGAGCTAACCCACATGATGCAGCAGACCTCTCCTGTTTCGCCTACTGCTCCCCACAGCAGTGTATTTCAGTAGATCTGCCTGTTCTGTTCCCCACTCTGTCTCTGATGAAAACTGTCCCCTTCTCCCCCCACCACACACACCCCTCTGGCCTACACCCCCGTTCTTGGATGCATAAATAAAATAAATCTTTAAAAAGTTCTAATATTTAGTATTATAAGGTTGCTGCTATGTCTTTCAAGAAGTCACACAGTATAAAAGCATTCTGACTCAAAGTCAGGAGACATGCATTTACTTGCTGGCTGTTTTGCTTACTAACTACCCCTAATCCTGTATCCTAAGGTCTCAGTAAAAATGAGATGAAGGATTCCATCACAAAGGCCTCATTGCACCATCTCAGATGTACCAATACAGGTTGGTGTTGCTTTATCCCCAGAGAAGTGCTTCCTAGTTATATGGGGTTTCGGAGTAGAATGTATGTTTCCTCTACGCTGTTTAGTTCTAGCACACTAGCACAACTAACAGCGCCCTCCCCTTAGACACCTGGGTTTCGGAACCCCTCCATCAAGTTTCTAAGTTCTAATTACCCCAACTTCTTCCTTGTTTCTCCAGTTCTAAGGGTTGTGCAGAAAAGGCTCAGGCCTGTTTGCTATCCCTTGAAAGACAAGCTTGTAAGGTTGGCCCTTTGGCTGGCACTTGGAAACTGGATTTCAGAGGCTTCCCAATATTTCCAGAACTGATAAAACTGTCTCAGGATGACTAAACTGTGAAAGCAATATGGTTTATACTGAATACCAGCTTTCCTTGAGAAGTCTGGAATTGAGTATGTACTATATGATCAGTACAGGGTGCCTATATGATCAGTCCCAGTAAAAAACCCTTGGCACTGAGTCTTTTGTGAGTTTCTGTGGTTGTCAATAGTTATTTCACACATCCGAACTTGTTGCAGAAGAATTAATCACATCCTGTGTGATTCTACAACTTTACTAGGCAAGACCCTTGGAAGTTTGTACCTGGTTTCCCCCAGACATCTTACATGCTCCTTTTTCCTTTGCTGATGTAGCTTTGCATCCTCTCACAGCTGTAAATCTAGTAGTGAATACAATTGCATGGTAAGTCTTGTGAGTATTTTTGGCAAATCATAGAACTTAAGGGGTCTTGGGGATACAGGATGGTAACTGCTTCCTGTACTTACTAATGCTTTCTTACCTCACCATCCACTTTTTGTCACCTTAGTTCTCCAATTTTTAAAAAAACTATTCTAAAATTTTCTGTTCAGAATAACAGATATTTAAAATAGCAATAAATTCCTGACTGGTTCCTAATTGACGTAGCCTGTTGGTAAAGGCAAACTGTCTAGTTAATCCTCTTTGATGAACTAATTTTTATCAAAACTAACACCTGTAATAGCACTAATCTCTTATAACTCAGTTACTGATTCAGTCAAAGAAGGTGTTCTTTCGACCAAATACTTTATAAAGGCAATCCTTGCATGAAATCATTAATTTGGGATAATTATCCTATTGATAAAAAAAGTGCCAGTAATGAAATTATGTTAACTTTAAAATTGTCCTCTATTTCAGAAAAAAATTGTAACAGGTTTAGGCAAAGTCTTGTTTGGTAGTTAAAATTCATTCTATATTTGCTTTGTCTTGAGATTTGATTAAGAACAGCGTTAATAACAAAAATCATAGTCATCTCTATTTACCTGAATCCTTTCTGGTTGTTTAGTTTATACACAGGGTTCTGAAGAGTGAACAAAATATCAAACAAAATGTGATTCTAAATGAATCAATCAAAAGATTTCAAACATCCACAAAGTTGATTTTAATACTATTATGAACTCCATGAACTCATCATCCAGTTCAAATATCAACAAATGATCTATTGTTTCATCTACTCCACTCTCCCACATCCACTGGATTATTTTTAAAGCAGATCATGTCATATATCATATATCATATATACTTGACTCTCCAAGAGGTATTCATTTAAACAACATAAGTACATCTAAAAAACATTAATTCCTTAAAAACATCTAACAGCCAGTTGTCAAATTACCCAGTTTTTTATAAATATATGTATATGTATATATGTATATATATTTAAAATTAAATCCAGGCCTCCCTGGTGGTACAAGGGGTTAAGACGCAACCTATGAAGCTGTCCGCAGCCTCTGCAGCACGAGTTCCATCCCTGACCAGGGAGCAACCCACATGGCGCAGCAGACCTCTCCTGACTCACCCGCTGCTCCCCTCAGCAGTGTACTTCAATTTGCCTGTTCTGTTCCCCACTCTGTCTCTGGTGAATCCACTAACTGCCATACCTCTGGCCTGTACCCCAGCTCTTGTATGCATGAATAAATAAATCTTTTAAAAAATAAAATAAAAAATAAATCCAAATAATGCCTCTTAATCTTTAAAATCTGCAACAACCTCCCACCCCCTTTCTCCTCAAGTAAAACATGTTTTACTTCACATTTATTTGTTGGAGAAATTGGCTTATTTCCATAGTCTGTATTTGGCAGATTGTATTCCTTTGGTGTCATTTAGCATGTTATTCTCACCTCTGTGTAAAATGACATATATAAAAGCTTGACCAGATTCAGATTCAATTATTCTGACAATACTTAAAATATATCTCAAATAGGGCCTCCCCGGTGGCACAGCGGTTGAGCGCTGGGTTGCGAAGCTGCCCGCGGCCTCTGCAGCGCCAGTTCGATCCCCGCTGCTCCCCGGCCACCAGAGGAGGGTCCCGCATGGCGCGCAGACCTCTCCTGCCGCCCGCTGCTCCCCTCAGCAGTGTCCTTCGGTCCTTCTGCCTGCTCTGCTCCCCGCTCTGGCTCTGGTGAATTCTCTCACCCTCCCGCGCTTCTGCCTGTACCCAGTGCTTGTATAAATAAATAAATAAATAAATAAATCTTAAAAAAAAAAAAAAGCAAACATTTGCTATATTTAAAAAAAAAAAAAAATATATATCTCAAATATATTTTTGATGGCATAATTGGTTTGGACACTAAAATACTGCTTCCAACATGAATCTGCTGTTTTAATTTACTATCAACCTTTGCATATCGTATAGACAGACCTTTTAATCCCCAATTTATGGAAGCACTGTGATCTACTACAACTGAGCCAGAGCTTAGTATCACCTTTAAGTTTACAATATATCCTTCTTTCCTTTGCTGGGAAATCAAATGAGTATCATACACTGTCATCTATTGCAAAGATTCCTTTATTTGCCTTAAAAAAAATTTTATTGGGAAACTATTTCAATGGGTTACCCAATTCAGTCGGTATTTTCAAGTGTCTGAAATGAGAAAGTATTTGGTAAATTTAATAATTAAAAATAGGCCTCAAATTAAGTACATAGGTACATCATTATTGTACTGAAAAATATGTTTAACAGATGTTCTAGTTAATAATACCTTAGTAGAAAGTGGCAGTGCCAACATTTTATAGGCACTTGGTAACCACTGTGGTTTATGAACAAAGCAATAATATAATGAATGGGTATTTTAATGGAAAATATAACTGTAATGTCTAAAATTTGAGACAAGAAGAGCAATGTGTATTTGAAGATAACGTGACACAGAATTGTTTGGATGCAGCTACATAACCACATCAATCAATAAGCACATCTGTGTTAAACTGAAGGGTGTTTGACAAACACTATCGATGGTGCTTTCAACTCCACAAAGCCTCTGGTAAAGGATGATGGCAGCAAACAAAACAAAGGTAGAAAATAAGAGTCATATAAACACACAGCAGCTAGAATACTTTTTAAACGTAAATCAGATCAAGTCATTATTCTGTCCTCTTAAAATGAGTCATTTCACACAGAATAAAATGCAAATGTGTTACCATGGTCTCTCATACACTATAATAAAGTCCTCACTTCCTCTCTGACCTTATTTCTTACCATGCTCATCCTTATTCAGTGCTCCGAAACCCTTGCTCTTCATAAAACCAGGCAACAATGTTCCTGTCTGGGGTCTGCACTTGTTCCCTCCACCTGGTTACTTTCTTCACAAATAGTCAAACTTCACTTCCTCACTTCACTTAGGCCTTTGCGCAGTATTTACCTCCTTAGAAACCCAACTAACCACCCGATGTAAAACAGCACCCCTCTCTGTCCTTACCCTGCTTCACTGTTTTTCTAGAGCAGATTATCTAACGTATTATATTCTAGTTAATTGATTTCCCTCACTAGAATATAAACTCAGTGATGTCAGACTTGTGCCCTTACATACATAGAACCTAAAACAGCAAAGACTGTCGAATATTTGTTGATTACATTTAAGCAGTGATCTCAGTTACCTTTCAAAACTTTATGCATCTGGTACTATTGCTGGACAAATACCATGATTTACAGAAAACCACTATATGACGTGCGAAGGTTAAACAAGGACCTTGGGGAAAATGTCTGGACTCGATGACTGATACCCGAAATGGATGCATCTGAGCAAAATTGTCTGGTTTGTATGGAATAAGAGAAATCCAAACCACACACGAAGGGCAATTAAAATGTTGGCCACGTAGGGAGAAGCAAAAGGAACCGAGTCTCTTCCCTTAAGCACAAGCCCTTACGCTGCCCTCGCAACCACACCAGGGGGGACGCCCGTCAGGGACAGTATCCTAGACCGTCAGCAACCGCAAGCTTCTGATCGCCAGGCTTCACCGCCAGGAGCGACGGCGGGTCCGGCCCAGCACTCACCGGTTTGAACAGTTACATAATTAACACCCAGAACCTCGGGCTCCCTCCACCTCCAGGGCAGAGTTCACGTGCGGGGCCTCACGACCGGAAACTGCCCCCAACAGGACCGCCACCAACCGTTGGCTAATCTCCGGAAGTGTCCCGGCGCGGGAGGCGGGGTGAGCAGTCACGGCGTGTCTTGCGTAAGGCGCATGCGCGCGAGGCGGGCACCCGAGGCGAGCCCGCGGAGAGGGTGTGCCCAGGCGGCCTTGAGCGCCTCTGATTGGCCGGTAGGATGACGACAGCATTTACAGTCGGGCCTACGGCAAGCGAAGAGTACGTCAATTTTGCGCAAGCTACTAGGGAAAAAGGGGCGTGACTGGAGAGTCAGGGAGCCCGCCGATTGGCTGCCGGCGGGGAACCGGACCGGCGGGTCCCGAACTGGGCGGTGGCCGGCTCCAGTGAAAAGATAATGGCAGCTCGGGCCGGTCACAGGATCCTGAGAAAAGTGGCCTGGGGATGCCGCCCGAAGTCGGCTGCCGCGGCCGGAGCCCCGTGTCCGGCGCAGGTATCTCTGCGGAACGTCAGGTAATAAACTGCGGGGACGCCGCGACGGCGGTGTTTTCTCGCCGGGCCGGTGGCGTGGCCGTCCCGAGGGCTTGGGCGACGCGGAGCCCGACCGGGGACGTTTTCGCGGGCCTGGGAGTGAGGGGTCTGTCCACTGCCTTGGGCGTTCGCGGGACTCCGTCGGCGCGCCCCGTCTGTGTCCGTGGCCCGGCCCCGCGAGAGTCGGGAACCGGCGGCCGAGCGATTTTGGAAGCAGTCGATAAAGCTGCGGGGGGCCGGTGCCCTCGGGCCCTTCCGGTCTCCTCCCCAAGGCCTGTCACCTGTGTTCCCAGGGCCGCAGGCTGCTGGCGTGTGAAGCTTGTGGCCTGGCGACGAGCCCCCCTCTTCCTCGGTGCCAGATTGCCGGACGGTTTTCCTACTTTCTGCTAGAGGTCTTTGCCCCTGCCCTTCGGTGCTTGCAAAACTAAACGAGAAGGGCCTCCCTGGTGGCACAAGGGTTTGGACGCAACCTAGGAGGCTGTCCGCAGCCTCTGCAGCACGAGTTCGATCCCCTGCCGGCCAGGGAGCAACCCACATGGCGTAGCCGACTTCTCCTGACTCTCCCGCTGCTCCCCTCAGCAGTGTATTTCAGTCAATCTGCCTGTTCTGTTCCCCGCTCTGTGTCTGGTGAGTCCTCTCACCCCCCTACACCTCTGGCCTGTACCCCAGCTCTTTGTATGCATAAATAAATAAATCTTTAAAAAAAACAAACTGAAAGAGCAGACTTAGGGAACTTGGATTTTTTTTTTTTCCCCACTCCACTGTAATTTAGACGTCCTGTAACCATGAACTAGAGTCTGCCTTCTATTTTCCTGTTTGGGTTCCCTTTTGGTGGGTGGGGGTGGAGATGGAGGCAGACATAAAGGATTCCACATTCTATATTTAATTTCCTTTTCGTAATGACAGTGTAATAAACTATGTTCGAAATTTTCAGCTAGTGTTTAAAATTAATTCAGTTGTAAACAATACGGGATAGCACGTCAAAGCGCCAATCTGGTTTGAGTTTAAGTATGTTTTGATTCAGTGAAGAATTTAAAAAATACCAAGAACTAACCAAATCCTGTTGACAGAGTGAATGAAATTGAAATAAAACCATCTCCTATCATTTATTCCGACTGTAGGAAATAATTTGAAAAAGCGGTTCCAAGCAGAACATACCCTATTATACTTTAGATCTGTTTCTATTACTTTTATAAAATATTGGTTCACAAGTGAACAAAATTGTGCATTTGAGGAAACAAAACAAGTAGCTTTTCATCAAATTAAGGTTTAAGTTTAAGATAAATACCCTCTGTCACAGTGAAGTGACAGGGAGTTTATATAAGTTTACTGACAGTCTGAAGCATTAACATAGATTTCTGACTTTCATTATAACAGTATTTCAGATAGTACAGAATATTGGTTTCAGATAGTACAGAATATTGGATGATTAGCAACAAGCTGTCCTTCTGGCCCAGTACTCACTTTATGTGTGTGTACATAGATATATGCATGTATTACATGTGTGTACATGTGTACATATATGTGTGTGCATGTATACATATATACACACGTGTGTGTATATGCAGTTGATAATGTATGAGAAAAGGTGTCCATTTAGGGCTTTGTAAACCTAGTATGCAAACTGATTAGGAGAACTCTTGGCTTCTTTAAACACAGGTATTCCTTTTAGGACTGTAATCAAATTGTAAAAGGGTTTCTTTTGGGGGAGACTTCAATACATACATCTGCTACAAAATTCCAAATGTACAATGAAAAACAACCAGACACCCAATTCACCTCTTTAGATGAGAGGATCTTATCTTTTTTTTTTTTTTTAAAGATTTATTTATTTATTTATTTGTTTGTTTATTTATACACGCACTGGGTACAGTCAGAAGCGCGGGAGGGTGAGAGAATTCACCAGAGCCAGAGCGGGGAGCAGAGCAGGCAGAAGGACCGAAGTACACTGCTGAGGGGAGCAGCGGGCGGCAGGAGAGGTCTGCGCGCCATGTGGGACCCTCCTCCTGTGGCCGGGGAGCAGCCGGGGATCGAACCGGCGCCGGATCGAACCGGCGCCGCAGAGGTCGCCGGCAGCTTTGCAACCCAGCGCTCAACCGCTGCGCCACCGGGGAGGCCCTTAACTCCTTTCAAAAGGAGGTCTTAATCACCTACCGTCATTTTTTGTACTTAAAAAAATCCTCATAAGCTTCATGTTTATTTTATTGACAATTATATCCTTAATGCTTAGCACAGAATGAGCATGTGAACTCAATGAGTATGTGAACTAATGAATAAATTCTAATGTGAAACAGTTACACAATAATCCTGTTAGGGCAAGACTTAAAAATATTTTATGTGACCAAGAGTATATTAGGCATCTGTATTTATTTATTTATTTTTAAAGATTTATTTATTCATTCATACAAGAACCGGGTACAGGCCAGATGTACAGGAGGGTGAGAGGATTCACCAGAGACAGAGCGGGGAATAGAACAGGCAGATGGACTGAAATACACTGCTGAGGGCAGCAGCGGGCGAGACAGGAGAGGTCTGCCACGCTATGTGCTATCTGCGGCCGACAGAGGGGATGGAACCAATACTGCAGAGGCTGTAGATAGCTTCACAGCACGCTGTGCTCAACCGCCTGCTCCACCAGGGAGGCCCCAGGCATCAGTATTTAGAAGTACCCTCAAACCATTACCATTCTGATTATCTGAACATGTTTTGTACACATATACATTGAGATGGAAATTGGAAGGTGAAAGAACAGAAAAGTTATAAGAGAGCTACCAGATCTCCAGAGGGTGAGACCTGGTTTCAAGTCTTACTAGAGATCAAGAATTAGGGAACTTCTATAGATTCAGTTGAGAAAATAACTTGGGTAGATAGGAAGAATTGAAAAATAGATGATGAACAGGCTAACAGGCTCATGGCAAGAATGTGTTGTAATGTGTGACTACAGACCTTTTCTGCCTGAAGCTTCTAACCCTAACTGTAAGCTGTTATTTTTCATTTTCTTTTTTTTTTTAAAGATTTATTTATTTATGTATACAAGAGCTGGAGTACAGGCCAGAGGTGCAGGGGTGAGAGGATTCACCAGAGTGGGGAACAGAACAGGCAGACTGATGAAATATACTGCTGAGCGGGGAGCAGTGGGCGAGTCAGGAGAGGTCTGCTGCGCCATGTGGGTTGCTCACTGGCTGGCAGGGGGATTGAACTTGTGCTGCAGAGACTGTGGATTGCTTCATAGTGTGGTGCTTAACCCCTTGTGCCACCAGGGATGCCCTATTTTTTGTTTTCTTTATGGTGCTTAAGAAGTTTTTTTTTGCTTTCCTGTGTCTATCTGTATGTGTGTTTTCAAGTGGGCAGGAAGAGCTGCCATGCTGTTTTTTTTTGTTTTTTGGTTTTTGTTTGTAGTAATAATCTAAAGTTGCAAAGTGTTCTAAAGTTATTTTTTTTTAAGATTTATTTTTAGGGCCTCCCAGGTGGCGCAGCAGTTGAGCTCTGGATTGCGAAGCTGCCCGCAGCCTCTGCAGCACCAGTTCGATCCCCGGCCTCCGGAGGAGGGTCCCACGTGGCACTCTCCTGCCGCCCACTGCTCCCCTCAGCAGTGTACTTCGGTCCTTCTGCCTGCTCTGCTCCCCGCTCTGGCTCTGGTGAATTCTCTCACCCTCCCGCGCTTCTGACTGTACCCAGTGCTTGTATAAATAAATAAATAAATCTTTAAAAAAAAATGAATGCACTTTAAAAAAAAAAAGATTTATTTTTATTTATGCGTACAAGAATGGGGGTGTAGGCCAGAGGTGGAACCAGAGGTGAGAGGATTCACCAGCGACAGAGAGGAGAGTAAAACAGGTGAATCTACTGAAATACGCTGCTGAGGGGAGCTGTGGGCGAGTTAGGAAAGGCCTGCTGCGCGGTGTGGGACAACTCCCAGGCTTGGTATCAACTCATGCTGCAGTGGCTGCTGATCGCTTGATAGTGCTCAGATTTTAACCCTGTGCCACCAGGGAGGCCCAAAAGTGTGATAGTTATTTTGTAATCTCTACAATTTGTGTTTCCTCTTAGTTTTCAATATTTAAATCAGGTAATCTTTGTCTTTTTAGATATTTAGCTTCCTGTGATATACTATGAGCAGAACTCTCCCACTACATGCCTCAGTTTTGCCTAAGGATTATATGCAAGAACTTTCTTCAAAATTGCTGCACCGTTAAAACAAAAGGAAAGAATATTCAGAGAGGAGAATTATTGGGTTTGTATATAATATAATAATAGTTCTGCTAAAAAAACACATTCACAATTTTCTATTGAGTTTTGTGCCTCTTTTTTTTTCCCCTAGGTTTTCTTCTTGAGTCTATACTTGTTTTTCCAAGTTGACCTTGTTGTTTTATAAATATTTGTTGAATGGCTATAATTATTGATGACTTCATAAGATAGAATTTTATACTTAACAAATAAAGGAAATAATTTAACTGCTGAGATCTGCACATTTGCGCATAGTAATACAGTGGCAACATACAGCTCCCTTCTCACAGACACATATAGCTATACAGACATGCTAAGTGGCT